TCAAACACTTCAGAGCAACTGACTTCTTCCACATGTCTGCCTCCTAAAGAAGACAGAGCAAATAAATATACTACCAATTTATAAACAAGGCCCACCAATGTTAAATAGTAACTCTTTGCCACTTTAAACAATGTTTCTTTAAATGTAGTGTTTCAAATGAAAATGCATTAGTCTCAAATGAAGAAAAACTGGTGAAGTCTACACAAAATTGGTGTAGGCAAAAATTATGTCGGCCAGAGTACAGCCTGATTCATCCCATCCCAATTCCCCTGTTTTGGAAAATCCATGATTTATTTAACTATTTTTAAGTGTTTCAAACATCTGAAGTGACTGCCAACAAGCTCATCAGTGGTGAGGCTGGTGGCCACCATTGGAAACAAACAGAGTGCAAGCTGAACAGGAATATCACAGGACAAGGACGGAAAAGGCACATTATAATGTTACTCAGGGGACGCCCTTAAAAACTATAGATTGATGACGCATTTTGAAGAAAGTGGGTGTCATTTTCCCCTCCCTTTCTTAAGATTAAGCTTATGGCTTACTTTCCAACTGATGGGGCAGATATTCAGGGATGGATAATCTAAATCAGGAGGAAGAACAGGCATAAACCCTAGGCTCAGTTCTTCTCTGGAGATCGAAAACAGAGAGCTGGGAACTCGTCTTGATTGCTGCAGTAGTGGAGTGTGTGTTTTTAACTTGGAGCTGCAGAGTTTTCCTCACCTGCAGAGAGAATAATAAAAAAAATCAGACTGTTAACATCTCCATTAGCTCTTCTTAGAAGCATTTGGAGCTTCTAACAGGAAGTTTCTCATTTGGGAGCCTGAATTTCTTTCTTTTCTGAGGCCACATCCAAGCTGGGCACATTGTCGCCTCCAAGAATTTCCTCGAACAGAATGTTATGGGGCACCCCACAGACCTAATCCAATTGTAGCATGCAAGCCTCCAGAATCACAACCGATGCTATGCCAACACACAAAGGGGAGGGGTAAGAGATGCCCAGTGCAAAACAAATCAACCTGGTGAATTAGTTTGCCAGTGCTGCCCTAACAAAGACCATGGGCGGGGTGGCTTAAAGAACAGAAATTTATTTTTTCACAGTTTTGGCTGCTAGGTCTGAGATCAATGTGTCAACAGAGCTGATTTCTTCTGAGGCCTCTTTCCTTGATTTGTAGATCTTCACATGTTCTTCCTTCAGAATGTGTTTATGTGCTAATCTTCTCTTCCTATAATAATACTGCATAGCTAGGATTAGAGCCCACTCTAAGTACCTCATTTTAACTTAATTTCCTCTCCAAACACTCTACCTTTAAACACAGTCACATTTCAAAGTTCTGAGGTTAGGACTTCAATACATGAAGCTGGGGAAGGAAGGGGACAAAATTCAGTTGTAGCACCCAGGAATGCCAGTCAAATACTGACATCCTGTGTTCCAGCCCCCAAGTAAACCATGCAACTTTCCCTGTGGCCCTGACGGACCCTGATGACCAGGTGCCCATGAATTCGGCTCTACTATGTAAGAAATGAGTCTGGAGGAGAATTGTGTCTATGCAAAAAAGCAGTAGTAGGATAGCAGGGTAAGAAGACAAAGGACAATAAGCCAAGTGTTTATCAAACAGTCCCAAAGAGCCACATCAGGAACCCCCTTCTTTTTAAGTAAATTTCACTGAAAGCTGTGGCGCAGGGGGAAAAAGAAAATTATATTAAGAGAGCAAAAGGTTTAAGGACTCCCTGGTGCTCAAAATTAGATACAGACCATAGTTTCAAACTTGCCTAATATACTTAAGGAGGCTGAACTGGTGTCTAAAATAAACAGAGTTTACTCTATAGTAGAAAAGGCAAATTTTCTTCAGTAATATACTTTTGCAAGGGGGGGAAAGTCCAGCATGAACTGAACTCAACTTGAATTTGTCAACAGGACCAGGCATTTTAAAGGACAAATAGGAGGGACGACTAGGGAAGGGAGTTAACAGGGGCTCAGTAGAGTTAATAAAATGAAAAATTACAAAAAGCAGAAAGAGGAAGGAAGTTTGTCCATGTGAAATCCACTCAATGCTATGATTTGTCTTTGTATGAAATATGTGTTATAATCTCTGTAATTCAAAGGAAATGCAAATTAAAACCACACTAAGATTCCACCTCATCCCTGCTAGAACAGCAATCATTAGCAACACCACTAATAACAGGTGTTGGCGAGGATGCGGGGAAAAAGGAACCCTCTTACACTGTTGGTGGGAATGTAGACTAGTACAACCACTCTGGAAAAAAATTTGGAGGCTACTTAAAAAGCTAGATATCGATCTACCATTTGATCCAGCAATACCACTCTTGGGGATATACCCAAAGGAATGTGACACAGGTTACTCCAGAGGCACCTGCACACCCATGTTTATTGCAGCACTATTCACAATAGCCAAGTTATGGAAACAGCCAAGATGCCCCACCACTCACGAATGGATTAAGAAAATGTGGTATTTATACACAATGGAATTTTATGCAGCCATGAAGAAGAACGAAATGTTATCATTTGCAGGTAAATAGATGGAATTGGAGAACATCATTCTGAGTGAGGTTAGCCTGGCCCAAAAGACCAAAAATCATATGTTCTTCCTCATATTCGGACATTAGATCAAGGGCAAACACAACAAGGGAACTGGACTTTGATCACATGATAAACCGAGAAGACACAAGGAAGGTATGAGGATAGGTAAGACACCCAAAAAACCAGAGAGCATTTGTTGCCCTCAATGCAGAGAAACTAAGCAGATACCTTAAAAGCAACTGAGGCCAATAGGAGAAGGGGACCAGGAACTAGAGAAAAGGTTAGTTCAAGAAGAATTAACTTAGAAGGTAACACACATGTATAGGAAATCAATGCGAGTCAACTCCCTGTATAGCTATCCTTATCTCAACTAGCAAAAACCCTTGGTCCTTCCTATTACTGCTTATACTCTCTCTTCAACAAAATTAGAGATAAGGGCAAAATTGTTTCTGTAGGGTAGCAAAGGGTAAGGGAAGGTAAGAGTGGGGGGGGTAAGGGAGGTGGTGGAGGAAAGGGGGGAGAAATGACCCAAACATTGTATGCACATATTAATAAAATAAATTTTTTTTTAAATCTCCGTAATTGTGACAAGAAATCCATGGGTTTGCTAGCAGGTGCTTATTGAAATTAGGCTCCTACCCGCCCACAGAGACTAGGAGACGGATTCTACAGACAGTGAATCCTCTTGACAGCCTCAAGTTTTCCCAGACACTTTATAAGGGAGTCTAAGGTCATCTTAGCAATGCCAGCTTGAGCTGTGGTAGCTGGTAGAGTGGTTCAAGTGGTACCTGCCTAGCAAGCAGTTCAAACCCCAGTACTACCAAAAAAATCATGGTAGTGTTCATTCAACTCTTTATAGGCCAAGGTTAAGTTCTAGTTGAGAGAGCACAGGGAATTCAGGTAGAGTTGTTTCTTTGTTAATGGTGAGAGTTTGCTAATCTGCTATAACCTCACATTTAGGTTTTAATGAAAACAAATCTCAGCCTTAAATTCCTTCATACAGGTAAACATTTATTAGCAACCTTTTCTAAATGCTGGATAAAACCTTTTCAGATTTTCTAGGTATGAAAGATATAATTGAAACAAACATAGCATTCTGTGCCTAAATGACACGGTGCAATCAGAAACTCTCCCAAAGCAGTGTTTGGACTGAGAACCAATTAGGGAATCAAATCATGACTATCAGCAGACTAGAATCCATTGATACTTACACTCTGTTCATAAAAGGTAGAAAAGCCTCTAAACTATTTTAACCATTTGGCATGTTCAAAATATGGTTAATTTCATCATGCTAAGCAACAAACACTAAATTCAACAATAGAAATCCAGATTGGCAATCAATAGTTAATTCAAAGTATGAGCAGGAAGCAAAGGGATGTAGAATGGAAGCAGATAGAAGCTGTTCTTCAAGTGGCCAACTCTCACATAAGGTCACCTGCCATCTTTAACCAGTGTTGCCCTGCCAGCATGGTCTCTGAATATACATAAAGTAAAAGCCTAGACAGACTGGCATGTACCAAATGTCATATAGCTTTTAAGTTCATTAAAATAAATTGCAGAGATGGCAACATCTCTTTCATAAAAACTTGAACTACAGCACAAAACTTGAACACACTGCACCTGGGATCAGGAGTCCTGGGTTCTGATCCTAGAAAGGCCGCATTAGAGACACCTTATTTCAGGCTCCATTTTTATGATCCAGAAAATGAAGGGATTGCTTGGTACAGTGTCTATGTTAGTCAAAATTTTCATTGCTGTGAAAAATACCTGAGAGAAATAATTTAAAGGAGGGAGAATTTATTTTGGCACATGGTTTCAGGGCTTTCATTCCATGATTGGCTGACTTCATTGTTTCTGGGTCTGTGATGAAGCAGAGTATTATGGAATAGAAATAGAGAAGATGCTATTTCTCTATTTCTCAGGATGCTGAGAAATAGAGAAAGAGAGTGACAGAGGGAGAAAGAGAAGAGAGAGAGGAAACGAAAGAGAGAGAGAGGCAATGGCCAAGGTGAAGATCCCATTCGAAGTCACACCCACAGTGGCCTACTTGTCCCAAATAGGTCTCAACAATGCCATCACACTAAATCCATCCATGGATTAACTCATTGATGCAGTCAGAGCCTTCCTTACTCAATCATGTCTCAAAAGCCCATCTCTGAACCCTGCTGCCTTCAATACATGAGTCTTTTGGAATAACATTTCATTTCCAACCCATAACAGTAATGCATGCATGTAATTCCAGCACTTGGGAGGCTGGGGCAAGACCGTTATAAATTTGAGGGAATCTGGGCTACATAGTGAGACACTATCTCAAAGAGATGGGGGAGGAGAAGAGGTAGAAAGACAGAGAGACTGACTTAGATTGACTTGGGTCAGATTTCTAAGATTCATTATTTAAAATTTTAGGATTTTATTGAAGGAGCTCCAGAAGTCCTACAAACTTGTGATTCACATTTTTTTTTAGCAGTACTGAGGTTTGAACTCAGGGCCTCATGCTTGCGAGGCAGGCACTCTACCACTTGAGCCACCCTGCCAGCCCATGATTCACATTTTAGATGGTTTATTTGGAATAAATTTTAAAAGAAATAAAAGAAAATTCTATGTGAGTGGAAGCATTCACACACCCACCAAAAGGCAAAGAGTAAAGATGTATGTTCCTGCACTAACTTGTATTTTTTTTCAGGTCTCAGAATTGTTCCAAGACTATATCTATAATTGACATATAAATATATTACAAATGTGATTGAGGAAGTAAATTACAACAACTTTTTTTAAAATTCAGGTCTATGCATGTCAACTCATATAAAAGAATCTGCATAAGAAAGGACATAGCTATAGGACACAGGTAATGCAGCCAGCTTAATGCCAGGAAAGGCTTAGATAGATGGATGCTGTCACTGCAGCAGTTATAAAATAGGAAGTCAGTGCCTAAGATTTTGCACAGTTATTGCAAGTTTGACATTTTATCTTAATGATAAAGTTATTGTGTTTAGATCTTTTATCTAATTTTTTATTTTCCCTAGGTAAGCAAAACAGTTTCCTCTATAAATCTGAAAATAGATAAGGATTACTAGTTAAAAATAATTTCATAAAGATTTATTGATGGATATGGCGAACTCATAAAGCTAAATGACCAAGATTCCCAATTATTACCAGCTGATTCTTCAGCTAGGATTGATTCCATTCACAACAGCATACAAAATGAAAGCAATGTCTCACAAACCCATGTGATACAACTTGAAGACAATGTAGTATATTGTACATTTCAAGGTCATCGAGGAGTTCTAAACAGTAAAATTTTTGCAAAAAAAGTTTGACTCCTAACATACTACAATGTAAATCTGAAATAAAATATGGGGAGCGTATAATATAGATCTCAGATTTTTTTCATTAGTAGTTCAGCAGTCAACTTATAGGAAAGTATGTGCAAACAATATTTACATCTAACAAAAAATTCATTAGCATTTGTATTCATATGTTGCTCTGTTGAAGGTCAAGGAGAAGTTATTAGAAAAAGCTTATCATATCCTGGCCTGTTAGCATCAGCAGGTCAACTACAGTTTGCACATGATGATGGCAAGGATTTTGTTTGGTTAATGCTTATCTCTAGGACCTAAGATAGTGTCTTGCATACACTAAGCACTCAATAAATATTTGTGAAATGAGCAAACAAATGAGTGAGAAAGCTGATACAGAAAAATATGTAGCTTTATTATCAGAGCTCAGAAAAGAAACCAAATAAGTGCATTACACATGTTCAAAGAAATGTTTCTAAGACTGTGAAGTCTTTATGCTACCATTTGCATGACAGGTTCACACAAATGGGTACAATGAAAATATTTTGCTGGTAGCCAAGCACTGTGGCATAGGCCTGTAATTCCAGCTACTCAAGAAAGAGATCAGAAGGATCATGAACTGAGGTCAGCCCAGGCAAAAAGTTAGCAAAGCCCCATCTCAAGGAAAAAGCCAGGTGTGATGGCATATACCCATCATCCCAGCAGTGCAGGAGGTATAAGTAGGAGATAGTGGTCCAGGCCAGTGTAGGTAAAAATATAACACATTTTCTATAAACTAGCTCAAGGAAGAAAGGATGGGCATGGCTCAAGTGGTAGAGCACCTGTGTTGCCAATAAAAAAAACATGAAAAGAAAATATATAGCTAGTAAAATACTGAACATACACTATAGGAGAGAAAATACTTAGATGCATAGATCAGGCATCTATAAACCACAGTTCATGGGCCAAATCTACCCATGCCTATTAATTTATGAATTGCCTATGTGCCTTGGGACTACAATGGCAGAATTGAATAGCTGCCACAGAAATGATATAATACAAAAAACTGGAAATATTTACTCTTTGGCCTCTCACAGAAACAGTTTGCCAACCCCTGGTGAAGATCAATTTTAATACATACACCCAAAGAAAAAAATGTAATGGCAGCTACACTAAAAATTATTTGTGAAATGGAAGGAAAATAAAATGAGTATCAAGTCTTATAAAAGGTATTACCAAAATAGATTCAAATGTTCTTTGTATGTACTATGAACCAAAGCACCCACTATAAAGAATGTCTCTTTAAAGCCGTACTTAATATCCCCATACAAGTTGTCAATTTTGTTACAACATAACCTTTTAATTGCAAATGTTTTAGTTACAGTAATGAAAGCAGCAAGTTGCAGTATTTACTTTTTTAGACCTTCCTTTTTTTTTTCACTATTTGTAGATAAAGTAAAAGTATGATTTATTTCAGAAAAAAAATCTTTTTTGTTTTTGTTTTGGGGGATATTTTTACAAAAGGAATAAGCACCTTTGATAAGTATCTTTCAAATTATCACAAGGAGATACCAATAATTTCTGTTCCAATAACTTCTTAGTCTTATTTTTTTCAATAAATGAAAAATACAGAATGCAACATGAGACAAATGTTTAAAGTAAAAATGGCTATGGCAAGCAGAATTCTAAAGACATTCTCCCAGGATTACAGGGCCCCGGTTTTTCAAACACTAATCTAGGTACTACTGTTAAGGGATTTGGAGACGGAATTAAGGTTACTCATCAATTGATCTTAAAATAGGGAGCTTATCCCGGATTATCTTGGTTGGACTGATATAGTTACATGAACAGAAGATTGCTGCAGGAAAAATCAGAGAGAGTCAAAGCAAAAAAAGGACATTACCCATTGTTGCTGTTTGAAGATGAAGGAGATAATGAGATGAGTGAGGAATGCTGAGAGAAGTTCCCAGATCATAGCTGTTATGGTTTAATATAAAATGATCCCTAAACATTAATGTGTTGAAGGATTGGTCCCACCAAAATGGTGGTGCTGAATGGTGAGTTTTGGTTGGAGAAGTAGGTCACAGGGAGGTATATCTTGTCCCCACTCTTCTGCTCTCGCTCTCTCTCTCTCTCTCTTCTCTCTCTTCCTCTCCTCCTTCTCTCAACAGCCATGAGGTGAGACACTCTGCTTTGCCACAGGCTCCCTGATACTGTGTGCTGTCTCATCATGCACACAGGCTCAACAGCAATGAGGCCAAGTGACCATGGACTGAAACCTCTGAAACTTCCCTAAAGTTGTTTTCTAGGGTGTTTTGTCACAGAGACAAAAAGTGACTAGCACAATAGTCATCACGGAAACAATCAATAAATAACCTTGCAACCCCAAGCTTTTGAACTCTGCCAAAAGCCCAAAGGAACTTGGAAGGGGCTTCTCACTCAGAGCCTCCAGACAAAGTCCAACTGATCAGCAGCTGACTTGATTTCAGCCTTGTGAACCCACAGTAAAGAGGTCAGCCAAACTTATCTGGACTTCTGACCTAGAGAACTGTGAGGTAATAAATATCTTAAGCCACAGAATGAATGACAATTTGTTACAGAAACATTACAAAAATTAATACAAGGCCCTGGGCATCCTCATCTGAGTCAAGACATAGAGCTGTGCTGACTACCCAGAACTCCCTCCATGTGACCCATCCCAAACTACCACCCTCTTCTCCTGCAAACTGGATGCACACCTTACAGTAATCACCTCCTTTCATTTATAATCTTATCAATAAAATAACAATCCCCGAACATTACCTGGATTTTCAGCCAATTGTTTTTAAAAACTCAGTATGTCTGTTAAATCACTGTTCATCTACAGTGTCCCTTTCTGTCCCTTCATTTTCCTTACAGTGTATCTGAAGAACAGAGGCTATCCAACCTTTCATTTCCCTCAGTGGAGACTAGGTTGATTGTATATTCAACCAACAAGCTTCTCAGGTTTCCCTATCGCCTGTAAATTGGCAGGTGGGTCCAGAGCCCTGTTTAATCTCAGATTGGATCCCTTTGGAAAAAGTACGTGTAGTGGTATTTTTTCCCTCAAGGTACCCATGGTGTATGGTTGTCTCTCTTTCTGTGAGGTTAGCAGCTCTGTGCCTAGTTCTGTATTTCATGTGCATTGGGAAATGATAATCTTATAATTCTGTCAGTTCCCTTGTAATGCATTCATTGAAATATTCTTTTTTTTTAGGGAGGTGCTGGTGCTTGAACTCAGGACCTACACCTTGAACAACTCTGCCAGCCTTTTTTTTTTAAGTGTTGGATATTTTCAAGATAGGGTTTTTGAACTATTTGCCCGAGCTGGCTTTGAACCATGATCCTCCTGATCTCTGCCTCCTGATTACAGTCATGAGCCACTAGTGCCTGACAAGAAACATTCTTTATAAAGAAATGCTTCCCCTCTTGAGCTACTTGTTACACAGTGAGTAGAAAAACCAAACTTGCTTGATTTTCCTGTTTTTAACCAGTTTTCAAGGCAATGAATTGATTCTATACTATCTTCCAAAGATGATGGATTAAAATTTTAATATCTCTATGAGGTTAAAGATTTCAATATGACTGATTATGTTCACTCTATTGCAATTAAATTCCTCACTAAAGTCTGAATTGGTCCATGGTTAGCCACTGAGTTGGTCTCTAAAAGTTGGTTCCTGAAGCCTGTTCTTAGAATTCTGATGGACTTTGAGGGTTTTATATCTCTAGCCTCAAATCTAAAATCAGGCACATCTCCAAAAAACTATTGGTTTTCTTTAGTGGGAAATAATTTTTCAGTATCACAATCCATATATGTCCCACATTTAATTATATTTTTAAAAATTAAACAAGCATGGGTTAAAACTATACAGTTACCAATGTTACTATGATTCAACAGCAGATAAAATGTCAGTAAGGATGCTAAAAGATAAAGTTTGCATTCAACATCCAAAACAAATAAATTTTACTCTTTGGAAACAATCTATGACTATCTTACAAGACAGCACTCGAGATAGATGTGTTTTTTTAATAACTATTAAATATTTCGTAATTTCAGAAAATAATGCACTTTCACCAAGGAAGTCTTAAATTGACTGAAAAATAATTCATTGCCTGCTTCCAAACTTCAAATTTTATCATACAAGAATGTAAGAAATTGCTTAATCTTATTCATCATTTCACTTATGAATAAATTCCCTATTGCTCTTCTTCAATCTTCTCAAATGATTTAATTCAAGAAT